GTCTTTTCCAATGAGTCAGTTCTTCACATCAGGTGGTCAAAGTATTGGAGTTTCAGCTTCAGCATCAGTCCTTCCAATGAATATTCAGGACTGATTTCCTTTAGGATGGACTGATTGGATCTCCATGCTGTCCAAGGGACTCTCAAGAGTGTTCTCCAACACCACAGTTCAAAAGGAATAGAGGCTGGCAAAAATCCAACTTGTTTCTTAATAGATTACTCTTGTTGCTGTGATGAAAATTAACTTTGGGGAGGTAAGGGTAGAAGCAGTAAGACAAGACTGGGCTATTTAAAAAATCCCAGGAATAAGTGACACTGACTTGATTAGTCATAACAGCGGTAAGGGACACAGATGTAGAGAGCAAACATACAGACACCAGGGTGGGAAAGAGGGTTGTGGTAAATTGGGAGATTGGCATTGACATATTTACACTGCTGCTGCTGCTAATTCGCTTCAGTCGTGTTCGACTCTGTGCGACCGCATAGACGGTAGCCCACCAGGCTCCCCCATCCCTGGGATTCTCCAGGCAAGAGTGGGTTGCCATTTCCTTCTCTAGTGAATGAAAGTGAAAAGTGAAAGTGAAGTCTCTCAGGGTGTCTGACTCATTGCGACCCCATGGGCTACAGCCTACCAGGCTCCTCCTTCCATGGGATTTTCCAGGCAAGAGAACTAGAGTGGGTTGCTATTGCCTTCTCCAATATTTACACTGCTATGTATAAAATAGATAACCAATGAGAACCTACTCTATACCACAGAGAACTCTATTCAGTGGTCTGTGATGACCTAAATGGGAAGGAAATCCATAAAAAGAAAGGGATTTGTAGTTGTTTAGACGCTAAATCATGTCCAGCTCTTTGCGACTGCATGGACTGTAGCCTGCCAGGCTCCTCAGTTCAATATAATTTCTGAGGCAAGAATACTGAAGTGGGTTGCCTTTTTCTTGTCCAAGGGATCTTTCTGACCCAGGGATCAAACCTATGTCTCCTGCTTGGCAGGTCTTCACCACTGAGCCACCTGGAAATTCTACCTAAAATGAAGGGGTATATGTAGACATACAGCTGCTTCACTTTGCTGTACAATGGAAACTAACTCAACATTGTAAAATAACTGTACTCAGTAAAAATTTTTAAAAATCTATAGCTCATTCTGGATATACTTCTAAGGTAGTTCTTTTATGATTTACATGACAGATTGCATGTGGTAGACGTGGTGTGAGAGAAAGAGAGCACTTTAAGAAATGACTTCAAGAATCTGGGCTGAGCATTTGGTAATTAGAGGCAGCATTTACTGAACTGGGGAAGATTACAGAACAAGAGCACAATTTCAGTGTTGGTTATGTTTTGACTGAGATGCTTATCAGAGGTCAAGTAGAGATGCTGTGGGATCAGATGGATGTGGGAGACTGGAATTCAGAAGGGAGACTGGGGTTAGAGATAGACTTGGAGGAATCTCAGCATGTAGATGACATTTAAAGCTATAAAACTGCATGAAATGCCAAGGGAAACAATTTCAGAAAATAAATATTGCCAGAACTGAGCCAAAAGACAGTCTTGTGTGTGGAGGTCAGGAGAATGAAGAAAATCTAGTAACAGAGTATTCCAATAAGCAGGCAGCAGCAATGAGGGAATGCATGAGATAGGGATGTTCTAGATGTCAGATGAAGACAGTCTTTCAAGAAAGGAGTGATCAGATGTGTCAGTTATAGCTGAGATGTCAATGAAATAAGAACCTCAAAATAACTATTCATTTTGGCATCATGGAGACAATGGTGTTTTGATGGACTCAGGAATAAGAATACACATTGACAACATGGATCGTGGAGCCCCAAGTACCTTTACAATTCACTCAGCAACAAAGAATCATATTGCATTTCTTGTTGTTCAGTTTCTAAGTCATGTCTGACTCTTTAGCGACCCCACTGACACTAGCCCACCAGGCTTCTTGGTCCATGGAATTCTCTAGGCTAGAATACTGAGTGGGTTGCCATTTCCTTCTTCAGGGTATCTTCCTAACTCAGGCATCGAACCCAAGTCTCCTGCCTTGGAAGGCAGATTCTTTACCACTGAGCTATCAGGAAAGCCCACATTGCATTTCTAATGGTTGGTAAATACCTAGAACTAATTGATGCTATGTACGCAGTTTGGGGCCGACATAGTATAAATACTGGAGTTTCTTTGAAATTAAGACTTGTAAGTTTTAATTAAGACTTCTTGAGTTTCCTTATTTGGAAAACAAATATGTACTAGCTTTAAATTGCCTAAATTCCTTACCTCCAATTGTCTTCTTCCCAGTATAAGACAGACAAATCCATAAAATGTAGAGGCTACTGTAACTGAGGAAAATTCCATTTTTCTGGGAGAACACAACTCAATGTGGGTGGAACAGTTTGAAGGCACTTTAACTTTTTACCCCATTTCCTCATGGTGCTGACAGAGATCAAGTATCAAGTGTTTCAGCTCATAGATTGGTTATGGGAATTATTTATTTGAAAATGCATCCATTCTCTTGAGACCAATGAATATGTCAATAATTAGTGTTTAGCTGCATATTCCCCTCGTCTTAGTAAAATCAACTATCAAAACATTGTTGGCTTATATGAGACTCCATATGTCTCAATCATAGACTCTATATTTGGTATCTTCTACAAAAAATAGGAATTACAGTAAAGTATATAAAATAGTATATAAATAAGTATATAAAATAGTATATAAAAAGTGTATAAAAAGTATATAAAATTAAGCATATAGCCAAAACATTTTCAAGTTTTCTGCCAGTGTTCATTATAGACCCCTTAAAATAAGGTGCATAAATGAAAACTGTTCTACACATTTCATTCATATTGTATTCAGGATTTTTCATTTCCTTTCTATAGAGAGGAAATTTATAGAGAGCCTGAGATGGACAGATAGCAGGGGAAGATGATTGGAAAAAGGAGCATGCTAAAGAAATTGGTCAGATTGAATTTACAAGTGAAACAGTGATCCAAGGACAGAGTTCACCTTTCCTGTGCCTGGCTTATTCTAGACAAATCTCGGATTTTGAAGACGTTAGAATTTAGCCTTGATGCCTCTTACAGTTTTGCTGGCTCCTCATTTCCCTCTTGTTGAACATGTTCTTGCAGTGCTGTAGGCGTATAGTTACAAATGTCATTACTCTCCGTTTGAAATTCATTAGTCTTAGTTCTATCTACTTGATCATAATGCGTGTTCTTGGATTTTAATCTGGTTAAAAAAAAAAATCTGTGCTAAAAATTGCTTGGTTTAATTCCACATTAAAACCAAACAAAATAGCCAACCCGCTAGGTTTTACTAAGTTTAAAATGAAAGCAAGTAGAAAGGGGTAAAAAGATGGGGAATAGCTGGCACGTGGCCAACTCCCTGGTTTACCTATCAACACAACACTGACTGTGATTTCAGGAATGGACTCAAAAAACCTCAGGATTTGAGCATGTAGGTCCTACTAATTTAGAAGAAAAATGATAGGTCACTTTTTGTCACAGGTTAAGTTTGCTTTCTCATCTCCACTTTATTATTTAACTTCCATAGGTACCAAGTTTTATTACCAAGTTTTATTGTTAGAATAATACAGGCTCAAATTTAAATCCCAATTTTGACACTTACTGGGAGATTTGACCCAGTTACCTACCTTCTTTGTGTTTCATTTTCTTCAAACACAGAAGGGAGACAATCCTGACATCCTGAGATTGTTGTTGATGAGGATTTTATCTACAATTTATGAAAAAAGGACCAGTGTGAAATATAGACCCTGTAGATCTTAATTGGAAATTGAATAATATATAACTTGGAATTAATAGATTTGACATGTGTAATACGTATAATAACAAAGGAAATTTGGGGGAAATATTTCTGGAGTATGGCCATTTTTCAGTTACAAGTAGAGTTTTTGGTTCACACTGTCAAGTGTTTAGTGCAGAAACATATATCATTACAGAGAACAGTTTGAAATCTCAATTAGATTTACTCACAAGGAATCATCAAGGTAAAAGAAATGTAGAAGATTAATATCATATTGAAAGTTTCAGTACATGAATGATATTTTCAGACATCATTCCAGAAAACAAAGAAATTATTTCTTCTTCTCAGAATGAAAGGATCTATTATGTTTTATAAGTAAATAGTGATTCTACTTTCCACTCCATCCATCCATCATCCATCCATTGTATGAATCTATGTTTTTATATATCCTATAATTGTAAAATGCTTATAGTAAACATCAACAAAATCTCAGAATACAATAAATCTAGGACACCTTAACCTTTAATCACCTTCTTAACTTCAGTTATTCTTTGAAATTTGGGAGAATCATATATTTAATTACACAAATTTGTCTACAGCTTGAGTTAGAATCACTGGTGACAAAATGGTCATCTACAGTATGAACACAAAGTTGAACTGAATACATAGCGTAGAGTTGGGGCTTCCTAATGGTTGTCATGAAAATTGTGTGGCTAACGGTATTACTGACTTCACATTAGGAACTTGTGGCCTCAAAATAATACCTAGCTTAGTCCCAAGGATGTTGTCCAACCTAATATAAAAACAGTAATAAACCTTAGTGTCTTCTGGAAAACAAACCTTTGAATCATTTAAGAACACAGACAACAAAATCAGCTATTATCAGACTTTGGTTTATTGTAAAATTTAGCGGTTTATTTTGTAATCCCTGACCCCTTGCTCTGAAAACAAAAGCAAAGATATAATTATTGCTTATTCTTTTCCCCCTACTTTATTTGTGCCACTGTGAAAGAAGGGAGAAAAATCATCGTAATAAATAGAGAGACTTAAGAGAGAAAGAGAAATCAGTCCAGATGAGAAATACTAGGAGCAACAGAAATACCATCAAGCCATTCAAAATAAGCTTCCTTTTAAAAGGTTGTCGTACTAAAAAAAAAAACCACACACACACCAAAAATATAGCAGCAGAGAAGGAGGATAAATACAAGTTAATTGCACACCAATCCCATGCAAAAAACTGGGGCATTAGCCAAAGCAGTAGTATTCGGAATCCAATTTGGGACGCTTGTACAGTGCGTGCGAGTCCCCTATGACCGAACTGTCACTGAACTGGTCCAAGTCTGAGGGCGTCTGGTGGCCTGGGACGTCATCTGCCAAAGTGTCCAGGTAGCTCCCCACAGAGATGCCATCTAGCCCGTCACTGCCCTCATGGAGGCTGTTGTAGCTGCCATGTAAGGAGGTGCTCTGACTCTCCAGTAAGCTGCACAGGCTGCCACTCAGGCTGCTGCCTCGGCTGGTGATGGTGGCTTTCTCTTCAATCATCCACTTGATGGACTCGATGCTCTCATTGATGAGCAGCAACTGGCGCATGAGCTTCCCGTCTGTGGCTCTGAGGTTAACCTGTGGAGGGCAGGGAGAGGGGAGAGACCTGCCAGTTATTCTGTGTTCTTGAAAGACCCCAGAGTCATTTAAATTCTGTCTCCTGCAGTCCATCGTTTTACATTCAGAGAATAAAATACAAATTTACTTGAGTGAGGATCTTTTTGAAAACTGCTGACAAAGGGTAGGAGTCATAATCAAAGAACTCACTTCCTGCCAGCCCTCACAGGCTCTGAAAGGGACTATAAACTCTCACTGCATCTCTGACCCTCACCAAGCTGCCTGGAAATATCCTGTTGAACAACAGATTCTGTCAAGAGACTTGTTCTCTCTATGGCCAGATTGTTTGTTGTTGTTGTTGTTGTTTTAGTTGCTTAGTTGTATCTGACTCTTTTGTGACCCCATGGACTGTAGTCCTCTATCCATGGGATTTCCCAGGCAAGAATACTGGAATAGGTTGCCATTTCCTTCTCCAGGGGATCTTCCTGACCCAGGGATTGAACCTGTGTCTCCTGCATTGGCAGGCAGAATTCTTTACCACTGAGCCACCAGGGAAGCTCAGATTTAATAGTTTATCCTTGTTAATTGAGAGTATGTGTGTGGATATTGAGAGAAGTGGGGGATAGCAATCTGTAGAAATTAAGGAATCATCATCATCATTGCAGCAGCTCCTATTTTTTGAATGATTATATGACAAACACCATTAATAAAAGCTCAACACACATTATATTGGGTTGGCCAAAAAGTTCATTCAGATTTTTCAATGTTACAGAAAAACCCAAGCAAACATTTGGTCAACTCAATAATAGCCCTGTGCCTCAAGTATTATTATTTTTATCCCTCTTTTATAGATGAAGAAGCTGAAATCTGCAAATAAAAAAGAGTACAGAAAAGGTCTGCACCTTTTATGACTATACTGACAAATACGTAGTGCTGAGTTTAACAAGAACTTTCATGTTTAACAAGAACCAAATTGTTTCAATATTCCCTGAATCCGAAAGGCTAATAAATCAGACTGATCCGCTTTACACAATGAAATGTACAAGTATTTTCTGTAGATTTAATTATTTCCTTCAGATGTGTCAAGAGCAGCTCCAACCAAAACTGGGATATGAGACTCTGGGAAGGTTCCCTTAAATGACTTCTAGGTATATAGTCTTTCTGATGGTTTTAAATTACTTCAGAGAAATCTGTCTCCCTAGTTACAAAGCAGAATTTCTCTGTAGGCCCTAGAGTTTAACAGGAATAACTGTTAACATCAAGGGTATTTCTGAAGGAAGTAGGGGGAGAGACACTGCAAGACAGCCCTTGTTCTAGTTGGAATTGAAGAGATAAGGCTCCTACAGAGATTCCAGTGGACTTGGACTGTGAGGCAAGGACAGATTTAGCCACCAGAGGTCCTAGTCACATTCATCAGGGTTTAAAGGAAATTCCAGTTTTCTTCACCTGAGGTCTTTTAACCCAGGAGACTGGGCCTTGCTTGTGCTCTCTTGAATACCCAGGACTAATTCAGATTTGCAGGTTTCTAGAATTACCCAAGGCACTCAGTTGTGAGTGACTCAAGTCAGAAGAGAGAAAGAATCTTATATATGCATTCATATTGTAAACGTATTTCTAGGAATCAATCCATCTCTGAAGGGGAACTTTGGGTTGAGTGAATGTGACACACAGCTATTAGGAGAGATGAAATTTCTAGGATAAATTCAGAGATTTAAGATTGCAGGTAAACTCCATGTGTATATGTACAAAAATGCTTACGTTTGTATGTATAAAGTATGAAGTATAACTTAAAAACTGTTAACCTGCCTAGGATATTAAATAAAGTGACTTAGGAGACTACCTTATCTTCTCTGAGAAATGTACCAAAAATTCTTAGGGAGTCAGCAAGGAAAATCAATTTTCTCTGAGATATTCATGAACAGAACTTAGTAAGTCTTAAGATGGTATTCTATTTGTGGTGATGTCTCAGTGACCTTGCTTTAAGGTTGTGTGGGGGAAGGAGGTTTTGTGGCAATTTTTTATATTTGAATTTACCCCCACACCCTATGAGTCACCAAAATACTGTTCAAATTACAAGTAATACAACAAATATTTACAGATCATCAACAATTTGCTTATGTCCACAGAGGAGCCAGAAAAATCAATAGGAGTCAAAGTCTTACAAAATTGCTCAGTTAAGCATCTGTAGCCAATAAAACATGCTGTGCCCATTGTAGGCACAGTGCAACATAAGTGTGACCATTTCCCAACAGCTCCCCAAATGAACCACAGCTGCATTTGTTCACATCCCCACCCTGTCCTGGAAGAATGTTCCTGCGCATGCCCAGATCTGGACATATTCCCTGCTACTCCCTTCACTTGAAATACTTGGTTGGTTGTTTTTCCCTCCAAATCCTCCCCATTCTTTCTTCTGCTGGCCTGTTTACCCTCTACTGAGTAGTTTGTATCCGACAGTCTACCTTAATTTTGTACACTTATGTTGCTACCTATTATTGTGTCTTTTAGCTGTTTCTTCAGCTAAGCCTTCAGTTCCTTAAAAAAGCCATGTCTTTATGTTCCGTGCACCTCTTGTGGTCTGTTTTAAGGATGGATTGATTTTGCAGAGGGGAAATAGTCGTAATTTTAGGATCTGAGAAAGTTCAGCTCTTAAGACAATAATAATGCACATTCTCAGCAATTGTGTCACTGGAGGGTTAAAACATACTTATACTTTTTTCCAGCAGTTTTTGTCTGAGCTACACAGTGGCTGCATCACATAAGAAGTGTTCACTTTTGTTGAGCAATATGAATGAGAGGGGAGTAGACTCTGAAAGTAACAAAAGCTTCCTTTGACCATGAAATGATTTATTTAAATAAAAAAATTCTTTTCTTCTGAAAGCAAACATTCACAGGCCATTGAACCACTGTAGGGGAAAACATGACGAAAGCAAGTCACTAAGAACGTGTTGGCCAGGCTGATAATGATTACACACGTAACTACATCTAACCCTGTGTCCTCCGGGGGAGAGAGTAAACAGCTTCCCACCGTGGGAGCCCTGGGCCATTCGGTTCACACGGCTGTCTGCCTGTTACCTGGCACTCCACCTAACAGTGCTTTCTCCTGGAATTAAGGTGCAGTTATGCTACTCCTGGTGAACCTTCAAAGTAGGAACGATTCACCACCAGGACTCAATCACCAAGTGGCTTCTGTCTCCAGCAGCTGGGCTGCCCTTCCTCACTGGTATGCGCATCAGTCCTTAGGAAGTCTGGCCATTCATTCAGAAGAGTCTTGCCCAGTGGGCAGGAACCGGTGTGGTTTTCTCACTTGAGATCTTACAAGATCCCAGGAGGTTTCTCTGAGGACAGTGGTTGTTGGGAGGACTTCCTCATGGTCTGAGTTTAAGTGATCCCTCCTTGGAGAGCCTCTTCCTGATCACTCATAGTATCTAATTCCTATGCTTAGTTGTACACAGCATGTCTATGTTTTTATATTCCCTTCATAATGCTTATGACTCATGGAAATCATCCTATTTATTACCTGTTTATTTTTTATTTTCCGTCTCCCATATGAGCATGTAAGCCATCACAGAGGGCAGGGGACTTGGTCTATCCTGTTCGCCACTCTGTGCCCAAGACCTCCAAGAGTGCTTAACGCATAGTGGATGTACAAGTCTTATTTGTCCAAGGCCTGAATGATTGCTGTAGGTTGAACCATCTGTCAAGAATCCCCTCCCTTGAGTTTTGCTGTAAGTCAGTAATACAATAGGGCTTCCCTAGTGGCTTAGATGTTAAGAATCTGCCTGCAATATGGGAGACCCAGGTTCAATCCCTGGGGTGGGAAGATCCCCTGGAGAAGGGAATGGCAACCCACTCCAGTGTTCTTGCCTGGGAAATCCCATGGACACAGGAGTCCATGGGGTCACAAAGAGTCGGACACAAATGACCGACTAACACTTGCTAGTGATACAGTGCTTGAGGGTAAAGAACGAGGTAGCAAGAAAGAGCTCTTCAGTATTGAAGAATTCCAAGCATGAAATCCCACTCCCACTGATTCATAGAGTTCAAATACTGAGTAACTAGGGCAAGGTTATTCCCAGCTTAAATGTACAGGTTACAAGATAGTATCTCTGAAAGGAAGTGGACTTCACAATGTAAATCACACTCTAAGCATTATTCTGTTTGTTCTGAGGTGATACCTCGTACTAATATAGCACCATTGTTCTGTAAACACTTGGTGAAAGAAATCAAACAAAGGGAACAAACAAATAGGATGTTACCAAAACAAAGATTTTTTTTTAAGGTTTGCATTCATTGATCCAAAGAGATGCCAATGTCCTTTCCTCTTTTCCTCTTCACTTGTCACTCTGGCCCTTACAATTATTGCCATGCAGCCCATTTTCATACTTAATAAGCCTCTCATGCTTCAATATTGTTGCATAATAGGTCTCTCAACTCTAGACAGAATGAAGACTGAAATTTCATGTCAATTATGATCGATGAACTGGTCTATAGAAGAACTTAATGGTGGTGTCTTGAGAAAAGCAAATATTCTTAATAATAAACTTTTCCAGATCTATGTTTTTGTCCAATCTATTATTTTTTAATACTACAAAAATACAAAGGTTATGAATTGTCTCACTGGAATCCAAGAAAGAGAGAATATGGTCATGCTTCTGCTTCATCACAAAGCTGCCAAATAAATTGACTTCTTTGGTGGTGGTGTAAGGAACACAGGCAGAGCTCTGGCCTGTCACTATCACAGTCTACCTTTGGGCAAGGTGGCTTGGCATATACAATCTTTTAATACAAGAATAATCCTGGGGATTAATTTTCAGCTGCAGTGAGCCCCTGGACTCAATAGACATAGTAAAGCAGTCTGTGAACAAAGTCCAATTTCTGCCCAATATTGAACATTTAATTCAGTAGAGAAATCCACGTGTCACTTTTCTCTGCTCTTTGTATTGAGATTTCATTGAAAATGTGATAAGAAGACTCCGTAGATCAGATAGTCTCAGGATTTCCCTTCATTCTAACACAGTCTC